CCACCTATAATGACGTTGCAGGTGAGAAGTTGGTCAATGGAGATAGAAAAAGTAGAAAAAAACGTCGGGCAGGGGCTTAGACAGGGACTCCCCCGGCCGTTTAGGGAGATGTGTGTTGGACGAGTTGTCCGAACCTGCCCGTAGTACATGCGCTCCAGTTGACTGCTGGCAAATAGCCATGCATGCTTGCAAATACATAACTATTTGCCAGCAATCGAAATTGAAGCGCTTCAATTGGGTTCTTATGGAATCGACCTCATACAGCGCGGCGGTCCCGCAACGACCGCTAGTCGAGCAAGCGCTCTGCACAGCGAATGTTGGGCGATCCGCCTCTTTATGGGTGATCCGCCCCTCCAAGAGGACTTCGACCCCTTCCAGCGCATTTTAGAGGTAGGTTTTGAAATTAAAGACATTTCCTATAAACTTTAGTTGGGCTGGGGCATGTTTTGACCGCCTAATGACCAAGTAGTTGAAACCCTGCCTGGACTGTTGCTTTAAGCCGCGATTCAGTAAGCAGCTATTCACTTCTACATATCTCTCCAAAGTCCATCGCCGCTATTTGCAGTGCGAGCGTTCTCAATGAAAAACACCGTACAGTAACGGTTGACGGACTACTTGAACCTCTGCCCTTTACCGCCTCTGCGCTCTCTAGCGGGTCCCTCTCCTCTCCAAGGCTTAGTCCTAGGGCATTCTCTAATCGTCTGTGCTCTAGCCATCGCGGCAGGCACATTAAAGCAACAGTCCAGGCAGGGTTTCAACTACTTGGTCATTAGGCGGTCAAAACATGCCCCAGCCCAACTAAAGTTTATAGGAAATGTCTTTAATTTCAAAACCTACCTCTAAAATGCGCTGGAAGGGGTCGAAGTCCTCTTGGAGGGGGCGGATCACCCATAAAGAGGCGGATCGCCCAACATACGCTGTGCAGAGCGCTTGCTCGACTAGCGGTCGTTGCGGGACCGCCGCGCTGTATGAGGTCGATTCCATAAGAACCCAATTGAAGCGCTTCAATTTCGATTGCTGGCAAATAGTTATGTATTTGCAAGCATGCATGGCTATTTGCCAGCAGTCAACTGGAGCGCATGTACTACGGGCAGGTTCGGACAACTCGTCCAACACACATCTCCCTAAACGGCCGGGGGAGTCCCTGTCTAAGCCCCTGCCCGACGTTTTTTTCTACTTTTTCTATCTCCATTGACCAACTTCTCACCTGCAACGTCATTATAGGTGGTCCTTACCCGCGAATTCGTTCCTGGATTGTTGCTTTAAGGAAAACTCAAGTAGTCCGTAAAACCGTACACTACGGTACTGCGCAATGCCCGAGTTGGGAGCAACATTTGCAACACATTTAAGAATAGTAGGAGGTGCGTCGTTGGCTTCTGAACTATTCGCTTATACATACCAGTTGGGCATTGATCATGTTTGCCATTAAACATTCCTTGTGCTAGTTACCTTACGCATCGTAAGACACTTCCTCAGTAGTCAAATGAGATTTATGTGCATAAATTGACTTCATATGCTAATCTGATTTTCATGGGTGTTTTGGTCAGTTTCTTTTAAGCATAAGTATCGCAGAATGATCTCAGGAAGCTCCTGCTGCGACTGACGAACACGCTTAAGTCAGCTAGGAAGAGTATATGTTTTGATCATTCGAGTTTCCATTTTTTGAATCATTTTTTAAGGGGAACGGATAATCAGCCGACGCAGTTGTGTGGGCGCAGTAATGGGCTTGGGCGTGTGTGATAAGTGATATCTGATACTCTGCCCATCGGAACCAGTTTAAACGAAACTCCTGTTTATGCTGAGCAAGGACGGAGCACTTCATAAGATCTGCACTTCTATTACCTTCCGTATTTTGTGCTCCGGTGTTGAAGAAAGGTAGTCGCAGCTGGTGTCGTGTCTTCTTTTCAAAAGCATGTCGTGCACTTTGGAGTCCCCGACCTCTCGCATAAGTTCCGTAAAGCAGGGAACATAAATAATTGTGTTACAAATTTCGTGCAAATTCGGCACTTTCACGGATCTGTCCCTTACCCTCCCTCGTGGGATCAACCCTTAATTACAAATACTAGCTGCTAGAATTGTTTCGATCCGAAGTCTCATGTTGACCAAAATGCTATCAGTATAAGCACATGTGAGGACTTCATAAATTATTGCAGAGTTCTACAAAAAGAAATGCAGAAAAAGTGTGGTTGCAAATTTCTTTTTCTGCGAGCTTTGGCGCTTAGCGCCTTTTGTCGAGCGTGTGAAGTAGGAACTGTCCCTAACCCTAGAGTTTATCGCTTAAATAACGTTGAGTGCTTAATACCACCTGTATTTCGCCCAGAAGTATCCCCAGTTCATTTCGGACACGGACCTAAAAAGCCGCTCTCTTCTACAAATGAATCCTACTAACTATAAAGCGCTTCGTCTGTCGTCTGTCGTCTGTCGTCTGTCGTCTGTCTGTGTGTCTGTCACGAAATTCCCTAGCTCCTCGGGATCCGCCTGGAGGGACCGGGTCAAGTGTGGAAAGGGTTCGTCTGGTCGTCTGTCGTCTGTCGTCTGTCGTCTGTCGTCTGTCGT